CTTTTTGGATCCTTGAAAATAAAAGAAACATACTTAATACTTAATATATCCTTATGAGCATTATCCAAAAAGTTTCTGTTTGAAAACCCAAGAAATAAATTTAGTGCCTGAAATATTCACACAGTTTTCCGTTTCAAAATACTCTAACAGCCATTCAAACGTACAGTGATGCTGAGAGAACAAGAGAAGAGCTAGGAAACCATGACACGAATTCTCTTTAAATTTATGAAATCACAAGAGACACAATCTAAGGAAAAATCCTGCATCATTTTTGGTGTCAGGGCTCGTGCTACTCCTTGAAATCCTGAATTGAAAACACATTTTCAAGTGCACTTGAAAAGCCCTTGAATTTAGCAAAGTTGCATTCTTCTAGCTCCAATAACAGCAAGCGGCAACTGTTAAGTCACAAATTCACAAAAAAATGGCCCTTGAAAATCGTAATTTTGAGCCTTGGAAAGTCCTTAAAAAGCCCTTGAAATTTTTGTTTGAGATGTAGCATGAACCCTGTGGTATGCACGAAAGTGCAAATTCAGAGTATGCGGAAAAAGAAGAGCATCTTAGATATTTCAACCAATCTGAACTCATGCGATTTATTTTACATCTGGATTATGCCTCTGCACATCCTTTTTCATTACCTTGAGAAACTTCTTTTAGTAGCTTCTTATTGATATCATAAGTCTCGTGACAGAAAGTAGTAGTTAGTAACGCCTCGTGTTCAGCTGCAGGAATTGCTTTGTGTAATGAACGTGTAGCTCTGGACAGCACTGACGTCATAGCAAATAAATTGATAGCAACATCTGCCATTCTTTTCAACAAAAATTGTTCGTCAATGATTTTCTGAGAAAAAGAAAAGTTTGCTAAGTTAATGGGGTGGATTTGGTTGTATCATTGACCTTAAATAGTAGAAAAAGTGAATGCTTCCAAATTTTAATTCGAACCTGAACCTAGTATAGCGCCACAGGTTTGTTCGCTTAGGGTCCAGAGAGAGGTAGGGTCAAATTTAGGCTCAGATTTCCGGCTGTCAGGGTTTCATGCCTAGGACGATCAGGTTGGGCAACATCTATACAATTTAATTTCTATCATGATCTTGCTTGCTATGATATTAAACACAGGTGATTTTATTACATCAACCGCCACCCGGTTAGCTCAGTTGGTTGAGCATCGGACTTTCGTGCGGGAGGTCGTGGTTMGAGTCCCGGCCGGACCAACACTCAGGGTCTTAAAATAACTGAGGAGAAAGTGCTGCMTTTGTAATTACATCTGCAAATGGTTAGACTTTCAACTACCCAACATCGGAGGGATGTAAAAGAACCACTGAGGATGTAAAGAAACCCTGGCAGTGACCACCCTCAGTGCCTACACCTCATACTAACCATCTCTCATTCACAACTCATTGTAAAGCGCCTATGAACATATCCATATGGAAAAGAGCGCTATATGAATATTATAATCACAATCATATTGACTTGAAAATTAATTGTTTAGATACAGAGTTTTGAAGTGCTATTATCATATGCTTCTCTGATGCTTCACTCATCTTGCATGATAACTTCACTTCCTGCGTGCTTCATTACTGAATGGAGCATGGAAAAGAATGTTTTATGTTCAAGGGATCCCTGCAGTATTCAAGATGATTGTCATGCAATCCTTACCTTGCCATATTTGGCCAGTAACTTCTCAGATTCCATTCCAAAATCAACAACATTTTCTTCCAATAACTTCACACTATCCTGCAAAGAAATATWAAGAAAAATATGTGAACTAGAAGCTAAGTAGTTGAGTGTACAATGTACCTTGGGGGATTTCACCTTCCATCACTTTTCTGACTAAAACGACAATGTCAACATTTTTTCAACTTTTTCCCATCCTATAGCTATTTTCTCGTTCCTCTCATTTCTTAGTTGCTTTACTAATTTAATTGACTATATGAGGCCAAAATTCTAGAAGAGCATCAGACACCAAAGGAGCTAACCTTGATGCCTGTAGAATACAAGCACACGCCCATAGTGTACAACCCCTCTGCATGGGTGCCTGGTCAATTAAAAGAGGCTGTAATATTTATGAATATGCATGGTGCTCTTACAGCTAATTGTGGGTGGACTGCATCAGACACACCCAAAGATCCTTTGATGCCTATAGCATGCAGCATCCTCTTGCTTAGCATACCCCACAAAATGCCTGGGTTCTCAAAAGGATTCTTGACGGCTCTGAAAGCAACAATTATGATATCTATCTAAAGATGAAACAAGGGTAGGCCACTYGACTAGCAGATGAGTGCTGATCAATTGACCATGGTCCAGTGATCAACCAAGTATGAACAACGGCATGTGCAGTTGACAATGAATGTGAGACTGATCAACCATGATTAACCTTGCTCGACCATAYGAGTACAAGAAAAAATATAATTGATGTTTTCGATAATTTTTTCTCGTGTAATTTCACATTTTTGTTGCAGCAAAAAATTGCATTGTCTACCATATCAAAAAGGTTTGAAATAAACTTAAAAGGATAAAAATCAGCATTAAATCCTGATTGGCTCAGTACAGGTAAACATGGATGATAGACGCTGTAATTTTCAGCTTTCACTATTTTTAGGCATGCAATTCTGAAAATGTTGCAGAGAAAACAAGGGCGGATCCAGGGGGAGGGTCGGGGGGTCGCGACGCCCCTGTCATTCCTGAGGTCAAATGGGATTCCAGTGGTAAAAATGCGACTGGGATTCCTTTGCCCACAAAATTTACCCCTGAGACCCCCCCTTCAAAAAAACCCTGGATCCGCCCTTGGAAAAGTTTAAACTTTGATTTTCTACAACAATTTTTGTTTTGGGAGACATCGTTGCCGTCAGAGTCGCGAGGCATGATACACTCTGAAATTGTGTCTCGAGCTGACAATGCAATGGAAAAATTGAGATTGCATTGCCAGAGCGAGAAAAAATTGCAGCGTGTATCGGCAGCTTTAGTGGGCATGTTGCAGCAAATTATTACATGTCTGGCAGGCTACAATTATTCAATGATTCGGAATTTGATATGATGAATTCGATCTGACGTTGCTGTATTTCTGGGAAACACATAAGATGTCTAACTAGCTTACTTAACAACTTCCTTGAGTTGATCACCAGCATACTTCATACCAGTCAATGCAATGTACATACGTAGAATCTCATTGGTACCCTGTAACACATGGAATAGCAACATATTATCATAATTTATTCATAATAAAATCATACATTAAGCAWATTTAACAAAGCAGGTTGAGGCTCAGGCAGCCAATTAAGGAAGATGTGAAATCATCATTGTTGAGTACATTCAGCAACATATATGAACAGTAACCAGGGGCGTAGGCCTAGGCAGGGGGCCAGGCTTCCCCCCTCCCCCTTGTGGCAACAAAATAGTAGCTTTTTAGAATTTAGAATTTATGCCTGTTTTTTATGTTTTATATAGGTGGGTTTGGCACTTTTGGGGCTTAAATAAAATGGCATCTTTTTGAATTTGGTCCTCTTCCTTTGAAACATCCTGGCTATACCCCTGGTAACATCAGTAAACTATATTCCTAATATACGGTCTAATTACCTCAAAGATTAATAGGATCCGTGAGTCTCTTAGGAGTCTCTCATAGGGATAACTCTTCATGTATCCAAGACCTGTCAATGTTTTGTATTCAAATATCATGTTGGTATATTGACTTCATTTTATAAATATTAGAAAATAGAGTTTACTTTCATATTAGCAAATATCAAGATGGTTTTCCTAGTGGGCTAAGTGTGGTCTGTAATCATGAGCATCTAAAAGCTTACCATAACTAACATAACATACCATACTCATGTACATGTATAAATGAATTATTTGTCTACAAATAATATAGTTTTTATGTATTAACTCGAATGATTCAAATTTATCAATAGGCTTGGATGGGGGTGTAAGGAGATGGTCAATAGCTAATATACCCCCTATAGGATTTATGTTGTCACGTGGTTTATGTTAGCATGTGTCAGTCGCGTGAAGTTGTCAACCAAGAARGACTTAAATTAGCTTTATACTATGAGAGGAATTTACATAAAATAGCTTATGGCTAAAATAACCAGAAAAAAACTTTCATTTCTGCAAATACTGTTGATCTAATAGTTTGGAAAAAGCCTGACGAAGATGAGAGAGATTTACAGTACTGACCTCCAAGAGTTTGAAGCGCATCATTTATACCATTCCAAATACCCTCTGATCCATAAACCTGGTGATTAATACAGTAATAAGGGGTGGATGCATGTACTAGGATAAGAACACAGCTGACAATCTTTTTGTAGAGTCATTAATGGTGAACCAGGCTCCTAAAGACAATCCTGGTGAAACTCCACTTTTTCACCTTTTCACTTTTATCTAACTTGGGCTCCCTGTGGTTCCAATGCTGATTCTGCCTTTTTTTTTCCTTTTTTTCTTTTTTTTTATTATTTTCTGATTGAGGCCTTCTTGTGTAGAAGCAAATTAAAAATTATCTGTGAGATTTTTCATGGAATATGCAGCATGATCATGGTATGTTTTTACATAATTTTGTCTTTGACATACTACATATACAGGTGCATATTAAGCAGTTAATTGTTTCTGCTCTATGATTGGTTAATAATCTTTAAAACACCCGTACCTTACACATAGCAGCCTCAACAGAAGCATCTTCATCATCAAGATCCATCATGCCACTCGTCATGTATGACATAGACTCTATTGTGTATTCCATTAAAGTCATACGTGCAAACTTTTCCTGAAACACCAAGTAATCAACATCAATAAATGTGTTGTAACAACTCTACTCCTAAACCTGTCATTGAATGATCATTCTTTTATCCCTCCTTCCCTCTTCCCCCCCAAATGCCAGGTCTCTTTTAGCTGGAATGTTGCTGGATGCAGATATCTATATATGGCTGTACTGTTTACCTGTATTTGTCCAAATTCACTGAGATTTCTCCCGAACTGTGTTCTTGATGTAGCATGTTCTGCAGCCATTCCTAAATACAATGTGTTTTAGGCATGA